AAATGGCAGAACATTACTTATATCTGGATAATCCCTCATTCTCTGCTGCTACATTTGAGGAGACCTGTGAAATTTTTGTTGGGATCAATAGGGGCTGCTGTGATTCCTCCCCTCTCCCCTTCCCTCCCTTGCCGTCTGGTTTAAAGTTGCTTTTTGACTTGTGACTTTTTAGTGTGAATTTGGTGTGAAGTAGTATTGGTGCAAGTTATTCTATACGAAGCAAAATCAGTTTGTAGTTTGTGCTGCCCCATCACTTCCAGTAGCAGCTGTTGCTCTGACTCTTGCAGAAAAAGTGTCAAAGGAAATCTGGAGTGAACAAAGACAAATATGGTCTGTTCTTTTGTTAAGTCTTACTTGCCAGGGGTTTTTCATTTGTTTGGCCCAGTATTATCAAGAAAATGCCAACATTTTCTTTGAGTTATTCTCTCTTCAGTAGAGAAAGGACTAGGTATTTTGCCTGATCTTTCTTTTCCTCCAGTCAGATGTATTTTGGTCTCTTGGGTGGAAAATATCTTTTCGTTAAATTTTTTTATGATTATTTCTCTGTTGGTTTTTATGACCAATGGAAAACAATTGATAAAAATTCCTAGTTTGATCACTGTAATGTTTTTATATATGCCTGTATCTATGTGTGCTGCCCCAGGTTAGAACGTTGACATCCAGCTCTGAACTATTTGCTTACTTGAACGCTTAGGTTTTACATAGATGACATTTGGGCCTTGCTAAATATCTAGAGGGGTTGAGTAGCTGGGTTTTGAGATGATAATCAAGGATAAGTGGGGAAAAAAAAGACCAGGGGTCTTGTCCTCACCTGAAAGGGAAGGAAGAGCAATACATGTCTCTCTGAGTTATGACAAACTTCATGTCTAAAAAAGCATGTGGGTTCACTAAATGAGATGAGGATAGTGGAGAACCTTTTAGGACATATTAACTGCCACGTAGTTTGAGACTTTCTGATGCCACTTCGGTATGCTCACAGCATTTAGACTGTGACAGTGAGAATACCTTGTATTGATGTAGCTTGTATCTCTTAGGCAGTTGCTGCACCTCAGTCTGCAGGTCCTCAGACCTTTCATAATCAATAGTGAGAGACTGTTGCCTAGTGGCTAGAGCATTTCACATCCCAGTGTCTCCCTTCTCTGGGAGAATTAATAATTGCTTCTCTGTAAAGCTTTTTCTAGTTTTGTGGGTGACAAGTAGTAGGAATGTGATTATTAGATGCAGATTTTATTTTATAGTCTTCCAAAACTCTTTGATCTTAGGAAGGGGAGACAGTGTATGTGTGGGGGAGTGAAGACTGAAAGCTTCTCGGAGAAGAATAACTGTTTCTGAATCTTTCTACGTAATTCTTTAATAGTTTTCAGAGCAAACTGAAGAGGAACAATTATAATCTTGTTGTACTCAGCACTTCATTAATTATTGTGCATTCCCAGTAGCTAAAATAGCCCAAATACCACAAAGACTTCTTACAAACCTATAACTACATTAATGCCTCTCTCACCACAGGGATAGTTCCTCTCAGCAAAAAGCCAATAAATTGCACATTGCAGAGAGCACAACATGGACGTTGCCAATAAACTGCTAATGCAAATTTCCTGCAAAGATGAAGCAGTATTTACAAGGGTGCCTTGTTTTGGGAAAACTTTCAGTGGAAACTAGTTGCTATGAAAGGAAAATCTGGTTGGATGGAAGCGTGGGAGATGCGGTTCTTTGGCAGCGACTGCAGAGAAAGCGCGTGAGGTTAAGGGTCTGGCTTTGGTGCTCTGCTGTATGCTCAGATGCGCGGGGTCTGCAAAACCTGCACACCTGTAAACTTGTTGTGCTGAAAGACTGTTGTCTAGTAAACACTCTTACTTCTGGCTTTATGAAGTTCTAAAACTAGTAAAAGTAGGCTGTGGGCATGGGGAGAGGAGGATCTTTCTCACAGATTTCGGCATTTCTGATTCTGATAGCGTGATGATCAGTTATATTCGGATATCACTTGATGGCCAGGCTGCCTTCAGAGTAACAGTTTATTTACCATTCCTTCTATTTAACAGTCACCATTTTAGGTAAGGTAGGAGAGATTTGTATCTTTGAATCCTGAAATCAGACTCTGGATCTGCCCCTAAAGCAGAAGATTTTTTTCTTAAATTCCCGATGAGCACCTAGAATAAAGTTTACGTGACAATAACACAGAACTGCAGACTGTGTGGCTGGGGGGAAGAGGGGATGCCTTATCCTCTCTACTCAGAGGAGAGCTTGTTATTATCTGTCTGGGTGACTTTTACAGAGGTTAAGGAAAACAACGTGTATGTTTCCGTGAGCAAAAACAAGCACGTTCTTTTAGTAAGAGGCATTCAGGAAGTTTGTCACGGGGACCTGTGTATCCCATAGTTCTGTTGCGGTGGAATTAGTCCGTTAACCCATAGATCAAGCTCAGAAAAGACCTTCATGATCATATTGTTTTACCTCTCTCACAAAATGGGCCGAAGAATTTTCTACACAAACTTTAATGATGTATACAGTAAGGCACAGAGATTTTTCCCCTTGGTTTGTACTACTTTCACCTTTCAAATTAACATGGCTCTGAATTGCAAAGTTTTTTTTAATCGAAGTGCAGCTTTATAAATATAAAGTGCTTTCACTGTGGCTTTGCTAGAGTTGAGAATAGTTATATGCAGAGCTTTACCACTTATACCACCTGGAATAGTGATAGGAGGATTGTGGGCTAGCGCACGCATCCTAACCGCGGCTTTGTAAGACTGTTAAAAGCCTACACCTGATCTAAAGTAACTCTTATATTGTATTATATGGCTCTGAAAAATATATACGGTTTTCCCTGTAAAAAAATTTTAGAAATGGAAATTTTACTGCACCACTGGGAGAAGTGACCCTCTTTCAGTCAGCACACTGTCAGCTGAGGAACTTAGAGATGACAAATATTGGCACAATTACTTGTTTAACAGCAGAAACATCCATTTAATTTATACTTACTCTTTGTCTCCAGAACACCTTTTGGTATGTTATGCGAAAAGTCTGTGCTCAGCTCTCCAAGGTGCTGTAGCTTTTTTTCTTCTGACAATTTCTAATGTGGTTAGAATTGCCAATACAGAAATTGCTGGCAGATTGAAAATGTGTGGGCAATTTAAAATGAAACGAATGTTATTTCAAAGTGCACACAAACGACGGTGTTGATTTGCTTATGCTATTTGTATTTATTGTTAATTTTGTAGGAGTTATGAATTTTTTTTAATGGAACAGAGCAACCACAGAGTCTGTAGTCTGCTGCTGCTTCAAGTAATGCCTGTCAAAGCTCGGCTCACTTGGTGAAAGATTATCTGCACTTTGTTGTCTCTAAAGACAGCAAAGAGTTGTCAGGAAAAAAGTTGTATTTGCAGCGATGTTTCAGCTCCACAAAGATCTATCCAAATTTGTGTTTGTGTGTGTTGGGGGAGTAACAACTATATTTATTTCTTGAATAACACAGAGAATGAGAGTACCACATATGTCAGTGCCTAACAAATGAGGTGAATGGTGGTTATTTCCCAGGCTTTTGGGCACAAGGATCTATGAGAAGCCTCGAGGTCTGGGGCAGTCCCAACATGCGTACTTTAAAGGGGATGGGGAGCTGCTCCCCATGCCCTTATGCGTCATGGTTTGGGAAGCCTTGAAAGGAACCCGCTTCTCTCTAGTCATAGCTCAATTCATCTTTGCTTGCAATAAATCTCCCTCAAGAGCAGGGCTTCTGTTTTATCGCTTTTAGCCTGAATCTGGTCCTTCTGCTGGTTCAGGTTCCCTCAGCGCAGGGCCTGCAGCGTCTGGCGGAGCGGAGAGCTTCCTCTCACTTCGGGTCAGGCTATGACAAGCAGAAGTGGAGGCGGGGTGTTGAGGTGGGCCCAGTGTGAAGCAGGGCAACTCAGGAGGAAGCAAGTTGTTCTCATACTTGTAAAAGAGTTAATTATGTTTTAGGGAGTGGGAAGAGTTTCCTAAAGATGAGAACTAGTTCAATTAGAAGCACTGTGCAGATACACAGCATTTCTTTGGCTGATTTTGTCTCTTTTCACCTCATTCTGAAGATGTGGTGGAAAAGAGAAGATTTTGCTTTACATCTTCTGTGTGCTCTTCAGTTACACAACTTTTTTGTTTGTTTTTCTTTTCCTCTCTTTTCTCCCACATCTCCATTATCCAAACTGCCAACTACATCTACAGCCTGTATTCCTCTGAAGTGGGAAGGCTTTGAAGTTCAGAAGCTTTGCCAGAGTCGCTGTGGTTTTTATCCAAACACGTTCTAACTTCTGCTGTTTCTGTGGTTTACTCAGGGCTGCATATTCATCTGTATGAAGATGATGGTCAGAGGGGAAAGCACAGGCATTTTATATTTGGTCAAGCAATTTCTTGTCCTGTAGAGGGAAAAAACAAACATAACAGTCCTGCTTACTCTCAAGATATCTCCTCGTCAGATCTTTTTTGCAGAAGCTCCTTATTGCATACTTTTTGTGATGGACTGATAGCGAGTGGGTTTTATTCCCTTGTGCAGCGCTTCTCAAAAAAAAGCATTGTGTTTGTCTGTTCATCTTTTGTCCGTTTCTGCTTTCTGGTGAAATAGTTTGTTTTCTCTCTCTCTCCAGTTTCCCCTCCCATTTTGTACAGTCTGAAGGGCTGACTATTTAAAGGTATTTGTAAAGTGCCTCTGACAGAAGAGTTTAGGCTGTTCTAGCTGTTCTAGCACCCCTACTAGATGAAGTGGAACGAGAGACTGTGCTTGTTTTCCTGGCTGACTGCGTTGTGTGGTTCTTTAAGGGACAGGATGGAAGACTGGGCTGCTGTTGAAGAGCTCCTGAAGGGTTGCCCAAGTTTTTTGCTTAGGGGATAGGATATTTCTCTGTCTTGCATTCTTCCTTCCTCTTCAGTTTGCAGGATTGTTTCAATCCCTTAATTGTATTGAATGTGAATCCATGTCACAGCCTGAAGTGATGGAGAACTGCTAGTCAGAGATTGACTCTCTGCTTTTGCTGCAGGATTTGAAGACCTGTTGATGTCAGTGAGATTGACACTTGGACCATCAAGAGAAGACGCTTTCTGAGAGCCCAGCTCCAGTCCATCTGACTCTATGACTGGGGGGTTCACCGTGGCTCCATCCTTTGCTCTCCAGTTGCACAAGATGGGTTCGTTCAGAAGGCCCAGACCTCGTTTCATGAGCTCCCCTGTGCTCAGCGATTTGCCACGTTTCCAAGCAACCCGGCAGGCTTTGCAGCTGAGCTCCAATTCTGCGTGGAACAGGTGAGCAGGACCTGTTCAGCTGAGCTCTGTCTGTGCGTAACAGCCCCTCGGTAATGGCCAGATAAGGTCTGATCTTTGATACCTCAGACCATTTATGGCTAAGCTATCTGTTTATGGGCATGAATGAATTTTTGGCATACTCAAGCTTTGCCTGTATGGAGGGGCCTCTGTGGAGGTGACATAATTAGAACTAGTAGTGTTTAGCCCTATTTTTGGCTAACATTGTTCAGAGATGCTGTCTTGAACTAAACCATAATTGCTTTATGGTAACAGTTACACCTCTTTGGTACCAGTTAAGGAAAGCACATTGCTAGTAATGTAACAAAGGTTAGTTTCTTAATGTAGCCAGGCATTCGTTTGCATATTGTGAAGCTTTTACCAAGATGAAGTTCCTCTGACAACTATTAAGTTTGTGGCTTCTGCCAACAGTTCTTATTGATAGTCAAATCCTGCCTGCAGTACCTGTCATGCCACAATGAATATTGGAAAAAAGACTTGTAGGGTGAAGTGTGAAATGTGCTGAGTTGATTTAATGGCTTGTTTCTACCAAAAGTGGGTGTTCCCACCTTTTTTTCTGCTACCTTGCACCCGCCTCTGCTCTGCACACTCCTCTCTTGTTGACCTAGCTTAGCTTACTAATGTCGCACAACAGTAGCCCAGTGGAAACATCATATATTTTTGTGCCAGGATAGTTAACTGAGGTCAGTGAAGCATACAACAAGCGCCATAACTGGCCCACGGAAGGGAGCACCTAACGGAGAAATGACACCACCTCTTGTTGGCTGCGGCAAGCTTTTACACCTGCTAAGCCATCTTGTGTACTCTCATGTCATGACTTTCTCTGTGCCGGTCAGAAAAGTATTAGTTAGAAGATCTTCCAACAGCTGGTTACTTCATTTTGCAAGCATTAACTGGGCTTAAAATTGTGTCTGACTGAAGTGATGTTGGCTTCAGAACTTGTTCCAGCATAGCAAGGATCCTGCCAAATGCTGCAGGTAGAGAGGTTTGGCCAGTCCTGCTAACATCACTTGGTAATGCAATACGATGTGTTTGGCAGATAATGCCAAAACGCTGTATCTCCTTGTAGTAACTAGCCTGCAGGACCTAGCAGAGATCCACTAAACAGTCATGTTAAAGATATACCCTGTGCAAGTGTGTTCTTTGTGAACAGTGTCCCTATGATGACTTTCCCTTGCTTACTCTAGGCACAGCTGGTTCTGCTCTGTCTCCCGTGAGAGATGTAGGTAAATAAGAGTGATGATTTCCAGGGGAGAAAAAGTGGAAGTATTTAAGTGCAATTAACCTCTCCACCCCATTATAACCACTCAGCTTTTGGCAGCTAGTTCACATTGCTCTCTATGTTAAATCACCCTGGCAGTTGTTATTTATGGATGCCGTACTGTCTTACTTCTTTTTTTGACAGTGTTCAAACAGCAGTGATAAATGTGTTCAAAGGGGGAGGCTTGCAGAACAATGAACTTTACACCCTCAATGAAAATATCAGGTAGGTTACTCAATTGCATGAAAAGGATTTTTGTTGCTGGTTGTTTGGTGTTTGTTTGTTTTTGTTCCCTTAAAGAACAGTAGTTAGAGGACACTGGTGGGAGGAGAAGGGGTAGAAGCAAACTTAAGCACAGCTTTGCAGTTTCAGGCTAACTTTCTTCTCTTATGCCACTGGGTGCGATGAATGGCATGGGACTAAGCTCTTGGATAATGTTTCTCTGATTTATGTGGATGTGTAACTTTGACAAGGACAGGGTGTGTATTTACTTGGATTGAAAAGGATGTTGTCCCCTCCTAGGGAATTTGCCTCTTCTGGCTGATTTTTTTCACACTTTTATCAGCTATGGCAGTGTCTTTTCTAAAGCCAAGCTTCCCAGAATCATGGAGTGTTTCAAAACAAAGCATTTCCTTAAAAAAGCTTAATCTTCACATGATGATTGTGGAGCAAGACCTGAAAATATGAACCCTGAAGATTAAAAAACTAAATGTTGCAAACAGGTTCCAACACTGCTAATGGTGATGATTAGAAGTAACATGATCTTTTTTTAGCAGATTTTCTGTTTTTCTGTGGTTTCATTCTGGTTATTTTGAAAGTTTGGTTAGCGATAGATAGGACTGCAGAGTAGATAAAGAGCAATTTATTCTTGCCTTGCTTCTAAGTGGTACTAAGAGGAGCGTTGACAGAGCTCATGAGGGCAGTTCCTCCTCCATCTCTCTTTCCCACGAATCCATATTCATTCACCTTGAATGTCATCATATAGGTCTCAACTTCCACTTTTTTATGGAACCTGCCACCCCTAATCCTTGCTGCATTCTTGCTGCTTGCCAAGTTATGGTTAAAGTTCAAATGACTCTTCAGGTTGAGCACTTAATAAACAGCATTTTAAATCACCCCTTTCCCTACTTTCAAAATAAATGCAGCTTGCAGAGCCTGAGACTCTGTTACTTAATCTAGGCCCAAAGGTGAAAGTTTCATAAAATTCCTTTTGCAAGCTGTGTGAGGGCAGGGTCTTGTGCTTCAACAGCATCTTAGTGTGCTCAGGTTAGAAGTGCTCAGGTTAGATTTCAGTACTTGCAGCAGTCTAATTCTCAGTGGGACAAGGACAAACAAATGTCTTAAGCCTTTGAAAATACCCTACTCCACAGCCCTTTCACAGACTTGGAGACTGGATTTGGGTTTTGTCACTGATCTCTCAGGCTGTGGCTCCCTGCAGTGGCTGCAGCCAGCTTTCCCTCCCCTGTGCAGGCAGATGCTCCTTCCCACCCTTGCAGGAGAGACGCTGGGCATCGAGTGTTACTGCACGCTGCCACAGATCTCCCGTTTCCCCTGTCCTCCTCCTCCTCCTCTTCTGAGGAAGAACTGGCGCTCACTGCCAGGCTGCTTTCGGAGTCATATGCTGACTGCTGTGAGCTGCTCTTGCCTCTTTGATGTAGGCAGAAGGGAACATCGCAGAGGGCACTAGAGCACTTCACATGTGCTCCCACTCACATGGGAGGTAGTATCAGCTCTTAGCAGGCTTGGAGAAAGGTATTTGGTTGCTGGAACAGCAAGCTGTGCCTTGGTAGCCATTCTCTCTCTTCCCTAGAGGCAGGGAGGCAGCGTGCCAGGCAGAATAGCCTTGTTGCCTGGACTTAGCCCCAGTGGCTGGACCATGCTCTGTTCACGTTGATTACTGAAATCAATCTAGTCTGTCAAGAGTTGAGTGAAGAACAGGAAATTCTTTGTGAAATTTGTATGCTTTTATGAGCAGTTTTCATGTTGGGAAGGGAAATTCGCTCTTCCAGATATGGGCACTCACAAGTAGCACTTGGAAGCACTCACCTTGAAATAAATGATTAATATCCCTACAGGTGCCCTGAGCATTGGTTACGTCTCAAAATGTCATTCCCTAAATAGGCTGCTTCAACGTTCAAGTAGCTCATTAATAGCACTCTGAGGAGCAAAGGACATGCATCTGCATGTATGTACGTACACACATTTGCAGCTTTGCACCTGTGATTCTTGATACAGCTTCCAACAAAACGTCAGTTCTGCACGTACAAGGTAAATGTCTAGCCTGACACTTGGCAAAAGGCCAGACCTGGAGCGTCCTAAGACTGAGCTGGTGCATTTTCCTGGTTTATACTTATCCGTTCAGATCATCCATGGAAGTCAGTGAATTGTTAAGACAATTACAGATTCTGCACAGTGCTTAATTATTTGATGATGGGAATAAGGAAGAGTTTTAAATTCGGGTAGCAACGACAAGGCCAGGAGATGAGCAAGTGGTAACATTTTGCTCTGGATTACTGCCAGAAAGTTTTCATCCTGCTGTGCTTTGATACCATCATCTCACTAGATACTTTTTTTTTTTTGCTGCTCTCAAAGTCAGTTGTTGCAGCAGGAGGAAACGTCAGAAATGCCACTGAGAGATGGACTCCCAAGAAGCAGGAGGTGACCTGGCCACAACCAGCAGGAGGCTGCCAAGGCTCTCTCTGAAATGAAAGCCTTCAGTTGCAAGGGCAGATGATCTACTCTGCAGACTCAAATCCTCCCATGGATATGTGAATTAATTGACCAAAAGCCCTCAGAATTCAGCTGAAACCAGTGGAAGTGCTTCTCACAAACAGGCTCCCAAAAACTCATCTAGTTTAGCCATCTCATAGAAAGAGAAATGCGCTTTGAGGTGGACAGTGTAAATATAACCGCTGTGAGAGAGAAAGAGTAAAAGCATATTTCCATGTGAATAAATGTAGACGTTTTACAAAATGTTTAGAGAGGAAGGTTGTTGCCAAAATCTACTTTCACCAAAGATTAGGAAAAAAAATGGTGTAGTCTATTAGCAAGAACCCAGCCTGAGAGTTGGATATGTCCCTGGCTCAAATGTCATTTTCAGACACTCATGATTGTACTTCTTCTTGGTGAAAAGCAAAACTCTTTAAGAGCAAAAATGCAACGCTTTGCAGTGGAAAGTATTAGGTAACTTCTAAATTTGAGGCAGAATTACCAGCCCAGGTCACAGTCACTGACAGCTGAAAGTGCAGATGCTCTGAATTTTTTGAGTTCTTTTTTAATACTACTTTTAATGAAAAGCAATCCTGATTTTTATATCAGAATTTTGAACTATAAATGCATATCAAAATTTAAAAATTTTAATGTAGCCTGATTTAAAATCAGCTGTTTGTAAGTAGAAATATTTGTTAAACGTGGATTCTGCCTACATGTATTCAGCATGCCTCTTGTTCCACTTCTACAATTGCTTTCATGAAAAACGTGCCTTTTTATTTTTTTAATGTGGTACTCACGGGGAAGCCACAGCTTCTGCCCGCATGTTTACTACTTTGCTCCTCTCCTTATCATCCCACTTTCTACTTCCAAGAGAAAAGGAAGTAGGGAGATATGCTGTTCACAGTGAAATGAAAGGCAGCTTTTTAAATTTAAAGGAAAATCAGAAAAAATGCTGAATTTCAATCTAAATAGAGACTTTAAATTCTCTTCCCAGCTCTCTGTGAATTCAGGAGGTCAGTGGGTCGGTGGTGCTCAGTTTTTTGCTTGTTCTAGGTGTGTGGCTTATAAATAGAAGACTTCAGGAAAGCTATTTCATTCCTTTATAATTTGAGTATAGCCTCTGCTGGCATTAGTACAACGTATGCTTAGATGTAAATGAAATTTAGCTGTGGCCAAAATGACACATTCGTATATACTCACGTTTCTTGGGGTTGACTGGTAGTGAAGTGCAGATATGCTTATAAGAAGTGACCAGCAATGGCTATTTCTTCATGGATGTGCTCCTTCTGTCTACAGACGGCTGCTGAAGAGTGAACTTGGATCCTTCATCACAGATTACTTTCAGGTATTACATGATTTGCTTTCTCTCTTTTGAGGTGTGTTCTCTTCAGCTTTTTAGTATATAAAAGCTTTGGTACCCCTTTTAACTAGCAGGTAGCCTACCTCTGTTTCATTTTCATTTTGCCACAGAAAGTCATGGAGGCATTGGCTCTTTTTTTATGTGGGCCATGTAGCCTTGGGAGTAATTACATTTAGGTGTGTTTGTGCTAATATAGAGTTAATCTTAGTGGCTGCTAGTAGCCTGCTAGGGTCAGGAAAGAATTCACTTCATAAACTTTTTTAAAAAGATGGGGTACCTTTTGTAGTTTTTTTCACCCTAAAAACCTCTAGTAAATAGAATACTGGATGAGGTTTTCTGCAAGAGGAGCTAGTGAAGGGCGAATGGGAAGAAGAAAGAAAACCTCTTTCTGTTCT